GCCGTAAATTTTGCGTTGATCATAGCAGTAGAACAACAAATTACTGTGCAAGATTGGTGTGTGTGTGTGCATCATGATACACTGTATGGTGTTTTAATTTTACAATATTACACAATTCGTAACACTCCACTGCTAACTGGACTGGACATTTTACTCAAGTATCGGTTTCTGTGTAATGTTTTACCGTCGTAACTGCAGTGATATGGTCGATTGGAGACGAATATGAGAGGAATTTGATTCATTCCATCAAAAGTAAGACTCTTCACAGTCCTCTTTCAGAGCATCCGAAATAGTGCACTGTTGAGTGGTAATTTTTCGAAATGAATCTTCATCGATTAAATGTGAAGGATTTGTAGCTAAAAGGGAGACATATGCAAAACTACGAGAAAATGAAACTGTCGAAACAGAAATCTGTTGAACTCAATGAACACAAAATCTCATAGTTGATTGTTTCACCATATTGAGCTGTGAATTGGAGCGATAAATTAATCACTATGAGTGAATGATGATTTGTTCTTTGCTGATGGTGTAGCCGAACTTGTTCAATAATGAGTTTATTAATGCAAAAAAGTTATATGACAGATTTAGCTTGTATCATTTAAAAGGAATAAAGGCATGGTATGAAGTGAATATTGATGAGATGGGAATTGCATGATAATAGTTCAGAACAAATAATTTGTCGTGAAACCGAGCACNTCAACATACAAAGGAAATAGATGCGTGTAAAGGGCAGGTGATGTGTGTACAGTAAGGCTTTAAGTAATATATGCGGTTTTCTTCCATAACACATGAAACCAACCATCAAATTTCAGTTCTTCAGTGGAAAATGAGCAAGGAAACTTTTCAGTGCACTTTCGAAAGAATTAGCTTCAGTTCCACAATTGCATTTACCGATTTGAGTGAACGATTTGTAATTGGCAAAATGAATCCCAATATGATTCTTGTTTTTGACTCATTGAATAGAAAACCATGATTCTTGCTTGAACTCCTTAAGTTAATCACTTNCAACTTCTGTCAACAAACTCATTTTCTGTAGCACCGAAATCCTACCGAAACATTTCAGGAATTTGCTAATCATTATTCTTTACATAGTCTTCTTTGTCTTAAATACTTTCACATGAATCCTTCATTTTGCGAGATGAATATCTCCTCAAATAAAGCTAAAAGTACACCTTGATAAGACTTTATCTTATCGAAACATCCTGTTATCTTCTAAACGATGAGTTTCATTTGAGTGTTCTACCGGTCATTTGAGTGCTATGATTGCTGAATTCGGAGGTCTTCAGCTCCTCAATTAATATCGGCAACATAATGTCCGCAATATCAAAAAGCCTTTCGAAACCGTCAAAGAAACAATAATCGTAAAGTGGAGTAAAATGAATAGTTTTCCGAAAAAACTATCGCATCGGCTTTTATGGCTAAGAACTCAGTTAGAATTAATCGATGATTGCATTAGGATAATGTGTGATCTGATTAAATTTCAGGAGGTCATGCGGAGGAGGTGGAGGTGGAGGTGGTTGCGGATGCGGAGGTGGAGGTGGAGGTGGTTGCGGTGGCGGTGGAATGATGGGCGGAATGGGTTTTAGACCGATGATGGGCGGTATGGGTATGGGTGGTGGAATGTGCGGTGGCGGTGGCGGAATGCGCTGTGGTGGTGGTGGTGGTATGGGCGGCTGTGGTGGTGGTGGTATGGGCTGCGGTATGGGTATGGGTGGCGGTATGGGTATGGGTGGCGGTATGTGCGGTGGCGGAAGGCGCTGTGGTGGTGGTGGTGGTATGGGCGGCTGTGGTGGTGGTGGTGGTATGGGCTGCGGTGGTGGTATGGGCGGTATGGGTGGCATGAGTTATGTGGCCGTTCCGGTAAGCCTTGTGCCGGTCGGTGGTGGAGGCGGCGGAATGGGCGGCGGTGGAATGGGTGGTGGTGGTGGTTACCGACCGATCGGTGGCGGTGGAATGGGCGGTTATCCGTTGGGCGGTGGTGGTGGCTCCGTGATGCCGATCGGAGGAGGCAGCAGCGGAATTGGCATGGGAGGTGGCGGCGGAGGCTATCCATCGGGTGGAGGCGGCGGATATGGACCGATTGGCGGCGGTGGCGGAATGGTAGGACCAGCAATTGGAGGTGGCGGTGGAGGCGGATACCCAACTGGTGG